ATCTTTCCCCAGCCTAGGCTGGATGCTGGGGTGGGGTGGGTGGTAGACAGCAGGTGGCTCTGAGGAAAGGGCTGGGCGAAGGTTACCATCACAGCCACATTTCAGAGATGTCTTGGGTAGCACTAGAGTCAAAGGAGGCCAAATTAGACAGGGAACAAAGAAGTAGCTCACAGCTACAACTCTGAAGGCCCACTGGATATTCAGAGACCAAGAAAACAAGGAACATGGCTGGGCGTGGTGGCTCATGCCTGTAATCCCAGCACTTTGGGAGGCCAAGGTGGGCAGATCACTTGAGGTCAGGAGTTCGAGACCAGCTTGGCCAATCTGGTGAAACTCCATCTTTAAAAAAAAAAAAAAGAAGGAATATTGTTGTGAGACCAGAAGACAGAGAGCAAATGTCACTGAATTCAAAGGCTCCATAAATCTTTATCCACCTTGATCAAGTAACAGAAGCCACACTCCTCTCCCATACTTTTTTTTTTTTTTTTTGACGTGGAGTCTTTATTGCCCAGGCCGGAGTACAGTGGCACAATTTTGGCTCATTGCAACCTCCGCCACCTGGGTTCAAGCGATTCTCCTGCCTCAGCCTCCCGAGTAGCTGGGATTACAGGTGTCCACCACCATGCCCAGCTATTTTTTTGTATTTTTAGTATTTTGGCATTTTTAGCTGGTCACGCTGGTCTCAAACCCCTGGCCTTAAATGATCCACCCACCTTGGCCTTCCAAAGTGCTGGGATTACCGGCATGAGCCACCACAACCGGCCTGTATTGAGCAAATGTTCTGTAGTGAGTATGCATTCCTTCTATAATTGGGAGGAAAATACCCAAGCAACCTGAAGGGTCTGTCTATAAGACACACCCACCAGAGTGCCAAGTCAGTTTACCATTGCCATGGCAACACCCGGAAGTTAACACCCATTTCCATGGTGATGACTCAACAACCCAGAAGTTACAATACTTTTCCTAGAAATATCTGCATAAACTGCCCCCTATTTTGCATATGATTGTAAGTGGGTATGAATATAAGTGCAGAACTGCCTCTGAGTTCTATTCTGGGCACACTGACTATGGGGTATCCTTGCTTGCCAGGAGCAGTACCTCTGCTGCTGCTATACACGGCCATTTCAATACAAGTTGCTGTTTAACACTACCAGCTTGCCCTTGAATTCTTTCCTGGGAGAAGCTAACAACCCTCCCTTGCTAAAGCCCAATTTGGGAGCTTGTCTGTCCTGTATCAAACCCACTGCTTTGAAGATATGTCTTTTTTTTTTGAGACGGAATCTCACTCTCGCCAGGCTGGAGTGCAGTGGCACAATCTTGGCTCACTACAACCTCCACCTCCCGGGTTCAAGCCATTCTCCTGCCTCAGTCTCCTGAGTAGCCGGGACTACAGGTGTATGCCACCACACCCAGCTAATTTTTGTAGTTTTTAGTAGAAACGGGGTTTCACCATATTGGACAGGCTTGTCTCGAACTCCTGACCTTGTGATTCGTCTGCCTCAGCCTCCCAAAGTGCTGGGATTACAAATGTGAGCTACCGTGCCCAGCTGAAAATGTGTTTTTTATTCCCAGATGAATGCACCTCTCTGTGTACAAAGTATATGAGAGGTGGTGATGGGCCTTCTCTTCATCCTCTTTATCCACACAGCCCAAGTCAGAAAAAGTGAAGAGAGAAAATAGACCTGCACACAGATATGACCAACATTCTTTGGTGCCATCAAAACAGACTCAATTCTGAGATTCCTGCTTCAACCACATGTTTAGCCTCTTCTTAGAGGCAGTTCCTGTGAATCCAAAGCTCTTGAGGAACAGGGAGTAAAATAGAATAGTTATTGTCTGGAGCCTTCCAACTTCAACCTGGATACATTTACCCATCTTGTTTTGGCACATTAAAAAGGCTTTTAAGGATAGGCATGGTGGCTCACTCTTGTAATCCCAGCACTTTGCGAGGCTGAGGTGGGACGATCGCTTGACCCCAGGAGTTCAAGACCAGCCAGGGCAACACAGTCAGACACTGTCTCCATAAAAAGTAAAATATTATATTAGCTGGAGTGGTGGTGTACCTGTAGTCCTAGCTAGTTGGGAGGCTGAGGTGGAAGTATCTCTTGAGCCTGGGAGGTCAAGGCCAATGAGCCTCCTCCAGCGAGCGGAGATCGTGCCACTTGCACTTCAGCTTGGGTGACAGAGTGAGACCCTGTCCCTTAAAAAAATAAAAATAAAAATAAAGGCTTTGGCCAGGCATGATGGCTCATGCCTGCAATTCCAGCACTTTGGGACGCCGAGGCCAGTGGATAACTTGAGGCCTGGAGTCCAAGACCAGCCTAGCCGACATGACAGAACCCCATCTCTACTAAAAATATAAAAATTAGCTGGATGTGGTGGCATGCATGTGTAATCCCAGCTATTCAGGAGGCTGAGGCATGAGAATCACCTGAACCTGGGAGGTGGAGGTTGCAATGAGCAGAGATTGCACCCCTGCACTGCAACCTGGGTGACAGAGTGAGACTCTGTCTCAAAAAAAAAAAAAAAAAAAAAAAAGAAGGCCGGGCGCGGTGGCTCAAGCCTGTAATCCCAGCACTTTGGGAGGCCGAGGCGGGTGGATCATGAGGTCAAGAGATCGAGACCATCCTGGTCAACATGGTGAAACCTCGTCTCTACCAAAAATACAAAAAATTAGCTGGGCATGGTGGTGCGTGCCTGTAATCCCAGCTACGCAGGAGGCTGAGGCAGGAGAATTGCCTGAACCCAGGAGGCGGAGGTTGCGGTGAGCGGAGATCGCGCCATTGCACTCCAGCCTGGGTAACAAGAGCGAAACTCCGTCTCAAAAAAAAAAAAAAAAAGGCTTTAAAAGAAAAAGCTGAGGACTCAGAAAAATACCCGGGTTGGTGCTTTTCATTCTGAGCCTGGAATTCCATAGCTAGACTGCCTCATCAAACGTGTTTTAGTTTGTACCCAGTGATGAATTACTTATTTGACACTGCAATGACCAGAGGGCCTTGTTCCTGGTGAGCCCTGTCTTCTCTTCCTTTTTCAGTGACTGTCTCCTTGCAGGTGGGAAAAGGTCTTTTGTGAAACCAGTTAAATTGAGTCACAAAGAAATAACTGTATATGTTCCAGAAGGCTGGACAAACAAGAAGACTAGTAATTTCAGCTCTCCAGTGATTACAGTTATTGTGCTTAGGAAGAAACTCCTCCCTTCCTGCAGTCATTAACTGCTCCCCTCTGCTGCCCCTGTGACTGTCCTCACTATTTTTGCAAGGCCAAGGAATCTCTTGAAATGGAATTTCCTTCCCTTTCGGAATCAAAAGCAAACACTTAAAGTCCACAGGATGACCTATTTTTCCTTAACAACTCTTAGTCAATCATACTCTCACTGAACCTATCCAGCCAACTGAATATAGGAGGTAGTAGTACTGCCTACATAATTAGGAGTTCACTAACTGGACTCAATATCAAGACCCTGTCTCCTGTCATTACTGGCTATTACACAAGAGAATTATAGGATTTTAGAACCGCAAAATGCCTTTACAGATTGTTTTTCTTTCTCTTTCCCCTTCTTTTCTCTCTCTCTCTTCCTCTTACTTTATGGAGTTGAGGTCTTGCTTTGCTGCCCAAGCTGGAGTGCAGTGATGCTATCACAGCTCACTGCAGCCTCAACCTCTTGGGCTCAAGTGATCCTTATGGCTTAGCCTCCCAAGAGGTAGCTGGGAATACATGCCTGCACCAGCACAACCTGGGCTTTATTTATTTTTTTTGAGATGGAGTTTCGCTTTTGTTGCCCAGTCTGGAGTGCAATGGCCCGATCTCGGCTCACCACAACCTCCACCTCCTGGGTTCAAGTGATTCTCCTGCCTCAGCCTCCCGAGTAGCTGGGATTACAGACATGCACCACCATGCCCGACTAAGTTTGTGTTTTTAGTAGAGACAGGGTTTCTCCATGTTGGTCAGGCTGGTCTTGAACTCCTGACCTCAGGTGATCTGCCCACCTCGGCCTCCCAAAGTGCTGGGATTACAGGCGTGAGCCACGGTGCCTGGTCTGCCCCTGGGCTTTATTTTTATTTTTAGAAATGGTCTGGCTATGTTGCCCAGGCTTGTCTCAAATTCCTACTCTCAACTGATCCTCTGACCTCAGCCTCTCAAAGTGCTGGGACAGATTTTCTTTTTTTTTTTTTTTTGAGGCGAAGTTTCACTCTTGTTATCCAGGCTGGAGTGCAATGTCACGATCTCGGCTCACCGCAACCTCCGTCTCCTGGGTTCAAGCAATTCTCCTGCCTCCAGATTTTCTAATAAACCCCTTCATCATAGAGATGAATAAGCTAAAGTTTATAGTCCTTATCCTTGTGACTGTCACTGAGTGGGTACTAAGTAACTACGTGCTCTTTTGTTTATGGCCTAAGTTGTTCGAAATGACCAGTCCATATAAAATACAAGCTTCCTAATTTCAACATCATTTTCTTTCCCCTCAATTATACTGAGTTATGTGCTTTCTTTTTCTTTTCTTTTTTTTTTTTTTTCTTGAGACGGAGTTTCGCTCTTGTTACCCAGGCTGGAGTGCAATGGCGCGATCTCGGCTCACCGCAACCTCTGCCTCCTGGGTTCAGGCAATTCTCCTGCCTCAGCCTCCTGAGTAGCTGGGATTACAGGCATGCGCCACCATGCCCAGCTAATTTTTTTGTATTTTTAGTAGAGACGGGGTTTCACCATGTTGACCAGGATGGTCTCGATCTCTTGACCTCGTGATCCACCCGCCTCAGCCTCCCAAAGTGCTGGGATTACAGGCTTGAGCCACCACACCCGGCTATTTTTCTTTTTTTTTAAAGATGAGATTTCACTATATTGGTCAGGCTGGTCTTGAACTCCTGATCTCAGGTGATCCGCCCGCCTTGGCCTCCAAAGTGCTTGGATTACAGGTGTGAGCCACCATGCTCAGCTGAATTATGTGCTTTCATTGGGTCTACTATAAAATCATTATAGTAAAAAAAAAAAAAATCATTATAGCCGTGCTCACTTCGGCAGCATATATACTAATATTGGAACGACACAGAGAAGATTAGCATGGCCCCTGTGCAAGGATGACATGCAAATTTGTGAAGCTTTCCATATTTTATTTTATTTTATTTATTATTATTATTATTTTTTGAGACGGAGTTTCACTCTTGTTACCCAGGCTGGAGTGCAATGGCGCGATCTCGGCTCACCGCAACCTCCGCCTCCTGGGTTCAGGCAGTTCTCCTGCCTCAGCCTCCTGAGTAGCTGGGATTACAGGCACGGGCCACCATGCCCAGCTAATTTTTTTTATTTGTAGTAGAGACGGGGTTTCACCATGTTGACCGGGATGGTCTCGATCTCTCAACCTCGTGATCCACCCGCCTCGGCCTCCCAAAGTGCTGGGATTACAGGCTTGAGCCACCCTGCCCGGCTAATTAATTAATTTTTCTTTTTCTTTTTCTTTTTTTTTTGAGACAGAGTTTTGCTCTTGTTACCCAGGCTGGAGTGCAATGGCGCGATCTCGGCTCACCGCAACCTCTGCCTCCTGGGTTCAGGCAATTCTCCTGCCTCAGCTTCCTGAGTAGCTGGGATTACAGGCATGCGCCACCATGCCCAGCTAATTTTTTGTATTTTTAGTAGAGACGGGGTTTCACCAGGTTGACCAGGATGGTCTTGATCTCTTGACCTCGTGATCCACCTTCCTCGGCCTCCCAAAGTGCTGGGATTACAGGCTTGAGCCACCGCGCCCGGCCTAATTAATTTATTTTTAAGATGGGGTTTGACCATGTTGGTCAGGCTGGTCTTGAACTCCTGACCTCAGGTGATCCACCCACCTTGGCCTCCAAAGTGCGTGGATTACAGGCATGAGCCACCATTCCCGGCCAAGTTCCATATTTAAAAAAAAAATTAAAAAAATAATAAAATCATTATAGCCATAACTATTTATTTATTTATTTATTTATTTATTTATTTATTTGACATAGAGTCTTGCTCTGTGGCCCAGGCTGGAGTGCAGTGGTGTGATCTCGGTTCACTGTAACCTCAGCCTCCCGGTTCAAGTGATTCTCTTGCCTCAGCCTACTGAGTAACTGGAATTACAGGTGCATGCCACTATGCCCAGCTAATTTTTGTATTTTTAGTGGAGATGTATTTTTTTTTTTTTTTTTTTTTTTGAGACGGAGTTTCGCTCTTGTTACCCAGGCTGGAGTGCAATGGCGCGATCTCGGCTCACCGCAACCTCTGCCTCCTGGGTTCAGGCAATTCTCCTGCCTCAGCCTCCTGAGTAGCTGGGATTACAGGCACGCACCACCACGCCCAGCTAGTTTTTTGTATTTTTAGTAGAGACGGGGTTTCACCATGTTGACCAGGATGGTCTTGATCTCTCGACCTCGTGATCCACCCGCCTCGGCCTCCCAAAGTGCTGGGATTACAGGCTTGAGCCACCGCGCCCGGCCGAGATGTATTTTTGAGAGTGTCTTCGGCCCCATTCCCTCTGACGTTTATTGCGGACTTTAGATGAGCACACCAGGAAGCGATCCTTGACCACGTTGGCCAGGCTGGTCTCGAACTCCTGACCTCAAGTGATCCACCTGCCTTGGCTTCCTAAAGTGCCAGGATTACAGGTGTGAGCCACCTGTGTCAGCCAACCATACTTTTATTTTATTTTTTAATAGCTTGAGATATAATTCATATACCATATGACTCACTCATTTAATGTGTTAAAGTTAAATGTCTTTTAGCATATTTACAGAGTTCTGTATTCATTACTATAATCAATTTTTAGAATATTTTCATGATCCCAAAAAGAAACCCCACACCTATTAGCAGTCACTCACATTTCCTCTCTCCTCACCCTCTTCCTCTCTCCTCACCCTCTCATGCCCCCTAGACCTAGCCAATCACGAATTCTCATTTCATATGAATGAAATCTTTTAATTATATGGTCCTTTGTGACTGACTGCTTTCACTTAGCATGTATTCAAGATTCAGCTATGTCATGGCATGTACTTTCTTTAAAAATTTTTTTTTTTTTTTTTTGTCAGAGATGAGGGTTTCGCTATATTGCTCAGGCTGGTCTCCAACTCATGGCACAGCCATCCTCTTGTCTCCGCCTCCCAAAGTGCTGAGATTACTGGTGCGAGCCACCACTCCCACTCCCCTCCCTCCCCCATACTTTCTTTTTATTGCCAAATAATAGTCCATTGTATATATGTCACATTTAATTGCTTATTTTTAATGACCCTCATGTGGAAACAAAATCATATATGTCACATTTTATTTATCCATTCATCAGTTGATGGTTATTTAGCTGAATTCTATTTTAACTAAATGTCATCTCTGATAACTAGCAGAAGCTTAAAATCAAGACATAAGTATATATCTTTCTATGTTGAACTTACACCTAAAGCAGAATACTTATTAGGAATCACAAAATCTCATACTTGAAAAATCGACATTTTTTTCTTTAAATTTTCTGAAGTGTATAATATCGTGGAAAGACAAGGTAAAGCTTTGCTCTATGTTTTCCAGCTCTTCTGACCCCCCAGGAAAATAGAGGCATGTATACAGTTAGATCATTGTCAGCCCTCAGGAAGAGAAAATAAAAGAGGAGGGATTCAGGTCAAGACTTTTTCTGGTTTACAAATAGGAAAGGTTACAAAGAAAAAGGGCATTTGGGGCTCACACAACCAGCTGTTCGGCATTCCTACGACCCCAACATCTAAACTACATAAAGGGTGAATGTGGGGTGAGGTTGAGAAAGGGAGAAAACACAGGCCGCAAATTCAGTACTATCCGGCACTTCATTAGACTTAGTATTTTCATCTTTGTCCTTCCAAATTTATAGGTTTGCTCTTGCCCAACCTTCATACTGTTTTTGTGGGTCTCCAGGTGGGTCACGCGTAGGAAACTTTAGGGGACTACTCACACTTCGTGGGCAGTACTTGAACTTGTAAACCCCAAGCTAAGGGTAGTTATGATCCCGGTGGGTGGCCAGTTCTCCCCCTAAACTCATGCTTGTCCTGCCTTTCCTTCTCCTCATATTAAACGACTCGGGGGCGCAGAACTGAGTCACCTGCGGCAGAGAGGAGGGACTTTTGAGAGTGTCTTCCGCCCCATTCCCTCCGACGTTTATTGCGGACTTTAGATGAGCACACCGGGAAGCGATCCTTGACTCAGCCCGCCCTAGGCGTGGGCGTTGTGTCATTCCCCACACGTGACGCTCTCCCAGGCGGGGGGGCCTCACTTGTCATGGGACTTATTCACTCCAGTGACTCCACCTCTTTCCTCCTCTACTCCCCAACTTCTCACTTACCCTTTCCTTCCCCTTTCAAGATTTGGGGAGAGGAGGATGGCTGGAGCCTGGAAATGCCCCATGTCCCAAGTTGGCCAGACACACTCACTATTTGGGAAAGTGCAACCAGTAACGTTCCGGTTTCACCCTTCTCCAGAATGCTATCACCCTTCCTGTTTTAGGCTATCATTACTCTTCCATAGCACAAAACCGTTCTATCCTATTCGAGACCACTTTTCCCCTTAGGCAGAACCTGGTTACGGTTGTTTCCCCTCCCCTTCTGTTTCCCATTTTTTTCGGAGCCCGGAATTCTCAATCTGGAGAATTGGTTGGAGTCCCGGCTCAGCCCGTTTCCCGTTCTAGCTGCGTGACCTTGAGGGCACCACCACTTTTCAGGGCCTACTTTCTTTGTCTGTGTTAACAGGGTCCAAACACCTACCGCTTTACGCGTGTTGTGGGAATGAAGTGCGACGGTGCTTTGTGAACTCCAAAAAGCAATAGAAATGCCAGCTAAGTTAACCAGAGACGGCTCGTCACTCTTCCCGAACCCCTCCCTTTCCCCTGGGACCCGCCCCACGAATCCCGCGGGGGACGGACACTTCGCCCCACCCTCCGACCGCAGTCTCCCCCATTGGCGCCGCACGCGCCGCGCGGCGCCGAGTGTTGACGACACGGCTTCCTCCGCCGGCGCCCGATGACGCTAGCCCCGCCCCCGGCCGCGCCTGGCCTCCCGCGGCGCCCCGCCCCTCGGGCCGTCGCCGCGCCGGCCCCGCCCCGCGGATGACGTGTGGCGCGCGCGGCCCGGCCGCCCCGGCAGTTGGTGCAGCGGCGGTTGGGGTGAGACCTCGCACCCCACCCCTCCCCTCCTCCGGTCCCGGCCCCCACCCCGCCGGGCCCAACCCCGGCCCCGGCCCGGGCCCCAGCCCTAGTCCCCGTCCCAGCCTGAGCCGGGCCCGTCCCGTGCGGGCCGGTGCCGCCCCTCAGCCGGCGACGCCCCGGGCCGCCCGCCCGCCCGCCACCATGGAGCTGGAGGACGGTGTGGTGTATCAGGAGGAGCCCGGTGGCTCCGGGGCCGTGATGTCGGAGCGAGTGTCCGGCCTGGCCGGCTCTATTTACCGCGAGTTCGAGCGGCTCATCGGGCGCTACGACGAGGAGGTGGTCAAGGAGCTGATGCCGTTGGTGGTGGCAGTGCTGGAGAACCTGGACTCGGTGTTCGCGCAGGACCAGGAGCACCAGGTGGAGCTGGAGCTGCTGCGGGACGACAACGAGCAGCTCATCACCCAGTACGAGCGGGAGAAGGCGCTGCGCAAGCACGCCGAGGAGGTGAGGCCGGCTGCAGGGCGGGGGCCGCGGGATCCGGCCTCGGGGGCGGCCAGGTCGGGGGTCGCGGCCCTGTCGGAGACTGGAGGCGCGACGGGCCTCCTGGAGGGCGGCCCTGAGGCCGAGGCCCCCCGGGACCAAGCCCAGCTGCATTCAGGTACCCCGGGACCCAGGCCGGCGTTGGAAGCGGAGGCCGGCTCCTGAGTGTCCTGGGTAGGGAGCGAGTTGGAGGAGGCAGGGCTCCGGGAGGAAGCGGCAGCCTGGCTTGAGGACACCTGGGGATGTCCAAGGGCGGAGATTGTACGGTGTCTGGTTGCTTCTTGTTGTTGGGGGAAGTTTCCAACCACTGTGGGATAGTCAGATGGCGGTTCAAAGTTTTACCCTTGGGGAGGGGGACACTTCTGTCTTGGATATGTAACTTCCGCTAGTTCCAGTACCTTTCCAGGGGGGTTGCTGTTGCTTTGGGAAGTTAGAGATCTCCCTCTTTCGGTCAATTTCTTCTTGACGTTTTAATCTTGTTGAGAAAGAGGTCTTATTTTATGTTCTCTGTGCCTTGGTTGACGCTTTGTCAACTTTCAGATGTTGTGTGGCAGTACTCAATAAATATATAAACAATTTTATTGGTATTCCATACCAAAGCATTCTTCCGTATCGAGTTGTAACCTTGGACAGTTCCCTTCAAAAACCCTCCGTTAATTTATAAAAAGGATTGGGGGGCGGGGTTGGGAAGATGTAGGTGACAGTTGGCAACATTTTTCCTCTGAGTTTCTTTCTCAGACTGCTGTTTATACGTGCATTTGGCTGCCTGTTAACTCTAGCACCTGAGCAGTGACCTCGGTGCCCTCCTAACATTTTGGACTTCGACTCCTAACATTTTGGAGTTTTAGGGTGCAAGTGACAGGTCTTTGGCTTCTTGAGAGTGATAAGGATTTAAACTTGCAGGCTGTATTGGCGTTATTTTTGTGGACCTTATCAAAGGCAGGTGAAGTGTCCTATTTTTGTTTCTCACGTGCCTAGCACACCTGGTTAAATACATGATAATCAAAGGAGGCTAAATAATTTATCATTGAAGGAATGACATGGTATTTTTCAAAAAGAAGTGAAAAGATTTTAGGATGTCAGATTTGTAGCTCATCTCCTGACACTGAATAGTAACACCATTAAAACTTTTTGTTTTGTTTTGTCATGTATACCTTTGCATCTGGTTAAATAGTTCTTGTCCTTTTTTAAAAACTTGGACTAGTGATGATTTTTAGTTCTGATTGTGGGATCCAGTTTTCTCAAAGGAATGCTACTGAGTTTGCCTAACAAAATTGGCGTGTTTTTTTTTTTTTTTTTTTTTTTTTGAGACATAGTCTTACTCTGTCGCCCAGGATGGAGTGCAGTGGAGTGATCTCTGCTCACTGCAACCTCTGCCTCCGGGGTTCAAGTGATTCTTGTGCCTCAGACTCCTGAGTAGCTAGGACAACACTCCCTGCTAATTTTTGGTTTTAGTAGAGATAGGGTTTCGCCGTGGTGTCCAGGATGGTCTTGAACTCCTGGCCTAAGGTGATCTGCCTGCCTTGGCCTCCAGCAGACCATCCCAGTGCTGGGATTACAGGCGTGAGCCATCGCACCCCACGAAAATGGACTATTTCAAGAGCTTTTCCTATTATATAGGGAAGGAAGGGATGAAAAACCAAATAATGATAGGATCATAATTTCTGCTTTTTTTTTTTTAGCACTCTTTGTAGAATAGAGATCAAGTGCTACTTCTGAGAGGACTTGATGCTGCTTCCTGCTCATACAGGCCCTTGCCAGTGTGTGAATATACATGGAAGTGACTAACCACATATACACACAGGTGACAAGCCGCACTGACATGACCTTTTACCTCACATAAAGAAATGCTCCCTTGCCAGGCGTGGTGGCTCAAGCCTGTAATCCCAGCACTTTGGGAGGCCAAGGCGGGTGGATCACGAGGTCAAGAGATCGAGAATATCCTGGTCAACATGGTGAAACCCCGTCTCTACTAAAAATACAAAAAATTAGCTGGGCATGGTGGCGTGTGCCTGTAATCCCAGCTACTCAGGAGGCTGAGGCAGGAGAATTGCCTGAACCCAGGAGGTGGAGGTTGCGGTGAGCCGAGATCGCGCCTTTGCACTCCAGCCTGGGTAACAAGAGCGAAACTCCGTCTCAAAAAAAAAAAAAGAAATGCTCCCTCCAGCCTTAACTCCTGTCAGTCCATATAAATACGGGCAAAAATGCCAAGGTCACATGTGCCAAGAAAACCATCTACAGGTTGCAGAATCAGGAAATAAAACTGACCAACTGCTAGAATCTGGGCTCTATATTAATTTCTTTCTTTTTTTTTTTTTTTTGAGACGGAGTTTCACTCTTGTTACCCAGGCTGGAGTGCAATGGCGCGATCTCGGCTCACCGCAACCTCCGCCTCCTGGGTTCAGGCAATTCTCCTGCCTCAGCCTCCTGAGTAGCCGGGATTACAGGCACGCGCCACCATGCCCAGCTAATTTTTTGTATTTTTAGTAGAGACGGGGTTTCACTATGTTGATCGGGATGGTCTCAATCTCTTGACCTCATGATCCACCCGCCTCGGCCTCCCAAAGTGCTGGGATTACAGGCTTGAGCCACCGCGCCCGGCTTGTGGTTTATATTTTTCCAATCACATCTATAAATTCTCCATAGTGAAACCATTGGGCAAAGGGTCATGACATGAGAACAGAAAACATTTATGAAATCCTAAATGAGCCAACTCTCAGGCCACAAACATAAACATATCTTGTTTTCAGTTTTCATATAAGTTCATAAATCATGTGTTGCTCAGTACCTAGAAGTTGTCTCTTTTAGACCAATATGTAGAGTGAATTCTGTGTTTAGTTTTCTGTGAGTGCTTTGTTTGTGCCTTTAATATGGAGACCAAGAGTCTGTTACAGCAAAAGTAAGTGCCTCAGGGTATATACAGCAAAAGTGATTTGAAAGCATGGAAATTATCCATCACCAGAGAATGTAAAGTAAATTCTGAGCACCTCTGTGGAAACTTAGGTGGGTATGTAAATAGTGAGAATGTTTGAGGAGTGCATGAAGTGCTATAATCTCTTGCTTGCAAGAATTCTAAGCAAGGCATCAGAAATTTAATTTTTATATTGCTGAGACATAATTTGATTACATTCTAACTTTTTTCTTTTCTTTTATTTGAATTTCTTATATGGAGCTTGTCTGCTGTTTTAGGGATTCTTTAAAAACAACCTAAAGAAGGGCTAATTTTAGATAGATTTGGACCAGTTTCAGAGGCTAATCAAGTTCAGTTATCTTATCGCTCATTACTCTCTCCTTTGGGCTGCCTTCGACACACCTTTCCATGCCTTAACCAAGACCTGTCTGATGCCTTTGCCCATGCCCTAGAATGCTCTCCTTAGCGTTTCACATAGCTAGCTCCTCACTGTCTGCTTTCCTTAAATTTCACTTTTTCAGCCAGAACATCCTGTTGACTCTATCCAGAATAAACCCTGTGAACCTACTGAATAATTTATTTTTAAATAAGTGACTTTTAACTTTAAATTCTTTTTTTTTTTTTTTTTTTTTTGAAACAGAGTCTCCCTCTGTTGCCCAGGCTGGATTGCAGTGGCACCATCTTGGCTCACTGCAACCTCTGTCTCCCTGGTTCAAGCAATTTTCCTGCCTCAGCCTCCCAAGTAGCTGGGATTACAGGCGTGTGCCAGCATGCCTGGCTAATTTTTTGTATTTTTAGTAGAGACAGGGTTTCACTCATGTTAGCCAAGATGGTCTCGATCTCCTGACCTTGTGATCCATCCGCCTTGGCCTCCCAAAGTGCTGAGAATTCAGGCAGGAGCCATCATGCCTGGCCTTAAATTTAAATTCTTTTTCAGGCGCCCAGGCAGGGGTATAGTGGCACAGTCACAGCTCACTGTATCCTCAATCTACTGGGCTCAAGTGATCTTCTCCTTCAGCCACCTGAGCAGCTAGGACCACAGGTATGCATCACCATGCTGGGCTAATTAAATTTTTTATAGAGACAGGTTCTCACTGTGTTACCCAGTCTGGTCTAGAACACCTGGGCTCATGTTATCCTCCTACCTTGTTGATCTTGCCAAAGTGTTGGGACTTACAGGTGTGGGCTACTGAGCCCAGCCCAGTGACTTTGAAATCTAGGTACAGAATGATCTGGAGAGAGAGGTTATAACTGGGCATGTTAGGAATTTGTGCAACTTCTGATTCTTTTAAAACAGGCATGATTTGCTTTAATTTGAAAAAAGGACCAGGTGTGGTGGCTCACATCTGTAATCTCAGCACTTTGGGAGGCCAAGGCAGGCAGATCACTTGAGATCACGAGTTTGAGATCTTGCCAACATGGTGAAACTCTGCCCCTAATAAAAATACAAAAATTAGCTGGGTGTGTTGGTGGGTGCCTGTAATGCCAGCTACTGGGGAGGCCGAGGCATGAGAATTACTTGAACCTGGGAGGTGGAGGTTGCAGTGAGCTGGGATCCTGCCACTGCACTCCAGCATGGGCCACAGAGTGAGGCTCCTTCTCACAAAAAAAAAGAAAAAGAAACTTCTGAAAAGTAGACATGTGGGTTTAAAGATCTTTTCCTAGCCGGGCGCGGTGGCTCAAGCCTGTAATCCCAGCACTTAGGGAGGCCGAGGCGGGTAGATCACGAGGTCAAGAGATCGAGACCATCCTGGTCAACATAGTGAAACCCCGTCTCTACTAAAAATACAAAAAATTAGCTGGGCATGGTGGCACGTGCCTGTAATCCCAGCTACTCAGGAGGCTGAGGCAGGAGAATTACCTGAACCCAAGAGGCAGAGGTTGCAGTGAGCCGAGATCGCGCCATTGCACTCGAGCCTGGAAAACAAGAGCAAAACTCCGTCTCAAAAAAAAAAAAGATCTTTTCCTGGCCAAGTACGGTGGCTCATGAGAATTACTTGAACCTGGGAGGTGGAGGTTGCAGTGAGCTGGGATCCTGCCACTGCACTTTGGG